GGGAGGGAGGGAGGGATTACTAAGGGAGGTGAGGGACTCACGGAGGTGATGGATGTATTCATTATTTCGATTGTAGTGATGGTTTCATGATGGGTAAATATTTCAAAATGTATCAGATTGTATACTTTAATGTGTGCCATGTATTGTATGTCAATTATAACTCAAAAAATGTTTTTTAAAAAGGAAAATGTTGGGGCTTCCCTGGTGGCGCAGTGGTTGAGAGTTCGCCTGCTAATGCAGGGGACGTGGGTTCGTGCCCTGGTCCGGGAAGATTCCACATGCCGCGGAGCGGCTGGGCCCATGAGCCATGGCCGCTGGGCCCGCACATCCGGAGCCTGTGCTCCGCAATGGGAGAAGCCACAACAGTAAGAGGCCCGCGTACCGCAAAAAAAAAAAAAAAAAAAAGGAAAATGTTAAAAAATTATGCTGCCTTTTAGTAGGAAAATGGATAAAAGAGCTGTGATTTATTCACACAAGGGAATTCTATGCAGCAGTGAAAAACCAACGAAAACGTTCTGCATGCGTTAAAACAGACAGTGATGAAAAAAGCAAGTTACCAAAGAAGTTACAGTATGATACATATTTAAAATTTAAATACAGACAACAACATGGTGTATTTTATGGGTACATATATGTATCAAAAGTGTAAATTTGGAGTAATGCACATCAACTCTAGTGGTCCTAGTCCTGTTAATGAGGAGCAAGACAGAGGAAGGGATGGGGGTGGTATGTTGGCTGTACTTAAAATGCTAAGATCCATAGCAAAATGACAAAATGTTAACATCTGTGAAATCTGGGTTGTGGGTACATGGGCATCTGTTACACTATTTTCTGTATGCTTGAAATATTTCATAATTTTTAAAAAGTTTAAGTCATTCTCCATCCCACTCTTAGCATCCAGTTCCCCTTGCCAGGGGCAACTGCTGTTTCTTGTGTGTCCTCCTGGAGATATTCTTAGTACATACAAGCATAGATGTATGACTGTGTGTGTGTGTGTGTGTGTGTGTGTGTGTGTATGCAAATTTTTATATATCTCTTGTTAAACAAGATATACTTTGGAGCATACTATATACACTGTTCTGTATCTTGCTTTTCTCACTCAATAAAGAGCATGGAAATGGTTCCAACTCAATTCATACAGACTTTCCTCATTCTTTGTAACAATGCTTAGCATTCCATCATATGGATAATTAGGTTATTTCCCATCTTTTACATTACAGACACATTATAAACACACATTTTGCACATCTGTCTGGGTGTACTATCTGGCCTTTAAAGCAGACTACACCACATCACATTGAATCTTCTCTTAATTCCAAGGGTCTTAAGTACAAACAGCAATGAAAATGTTGGGCTTCAAAAGAGTGATGGGCTCCTGATGTGGGTGGGACAGTTTGCCACCTTTCTGATGCCAGAGCAGCTACCCTTTGGGTTCCTGCACCTCCTTTTTATGTTTTCTATTTCCTGTTGGATACCAGGCTCTTTGCTCCCACTTTTCTAATTGTTGGTAGCACCCTTTTCCCTGCCATTTTGTTGTTTCTAAAATGTTTTCAGCTAAGAAGCCAAATAAGAAAACTTGTTTGGACTGTGACTAAAGTAATGGATGGGAGGTTCCAAGTAAGGGAATCCAGTATTTTTCAGAGTCAAGAGTATGATACTCCTCTCCTTTTCCTTGGCTATGAATTTTCACTCTCTGGTTAAAGTATTTTTTTACATTATAAAATCATTATAACAGGACTCTAGAAAATAATTTCTCTAGACTACTCAAATAGTACCACTAATAATAAGAGTAATATTATCAAATATTTATTTCAGTTTCCAAAGTGTTTCTTATCAGGGAAGTAGTATAGCCTAATGGTTAAGAGCACAGGATCTGAAGTCGGACTGTCTGGGTTCAAACCCTGGTCCACCACACTTGCTGTGTAGCCTCAAGTAGCTTATTTAACTTCTCTGTGCCTTGGTTTTCTCATCCATAACATGGGGGTTATACAAATACTTTCCAAGGTTGTACAAAATTAAATGATTTAAAAACGTGTAAAAGTCTAATCTCAGGTTAGTGCCTGACACACCCCTGGTGAGTGTTTGATAATATCAGTTATTATTATTACTATTATCAGTGTAGTTATAGTAGTAGTAAGAGTGGGCCGACCTCATAATCTGATCAGTCACTGGACTCAAGGCTTACAAGTAAGTGTAGAGGTATATATGTTCAGTAGCAAAACAGTGTTAGGATGTGAACCAGCCAGCCATGTGAAGTCTGCTTATGACCGCTGCCAGGTGTGAACGTGACGGTGCCAGGCCATGACAGTGCCAGGTTATGACACTGTGTGGCTTGATGGTGGCTGAGGTGTCATGGAGTCAAGATGAAGTTAGTGGTTTGCTGGAGTTGCCTCTTGAGAGCTGACTGTTAAAACAGGGAACTTAAGGGGTTTCCCCGGTGGCACAGTGGTTGAGAATCTGCCTGCTAATGCAGGGGACACGGGTTCGAGCCCTGGTCTGGGAGGATCCCACACGCCGCGGAGCAACTGGGCCCGTGAGCCACAACTACGGAGCCTGCGCGTCCGGAGCCTGTGCTCCGCAACAAGAGAGGCCGCGATAGTGAGAGGCCTGCGCACCGCGATAAAGAGTGGCCCCCGCTTGCCACAACTAGAGAAAGCCCTCGCACAGAAACGAAGACCCAACACCGAAAAAAAAAAAAAAAATTAATAAAACTCCTACCCCCAACATCTAAAAAAAACAGGGAACCTAGTAAGCTGGTGGTTCAACACAGCCATTATTTAAAAACATAAATTAGATAAACTTACAAGTAAGTAAATTATATTAAAAACAAAGGTAATGAATATTCAGAACTCATCATGTGAAAATTATTTGACTACATTTTACCATTATCTGTGCTCTTGAGGTTATGTCCACCTACTGAATCTGCAGAGCAGAAATAGGATGCATGGTGCTCTGCTGTGCTTCTCTTCCCAACTCCATGTTCACGGACATGGTGGGGGTTGCCTGAAATTGGTCATGGTGGGAGTAATTACACATCAGAGACTGGTAAACACACAGACCAGGGCTTGATTTGTTTCGCTGATTGTGTAGACTTAAGAAAACAATTAAATTTAAAAGTGTATCGTGTCTATAACTGCTCACATTGTGAAGAGCAGAAGAAAATCGGAGTGTTCTTTCTCAAACAGAAGATGCTCACATCACTGACAAACTACTTGTTCTAATACAAGTCTCCATCACTTCAGTTTGTCTTGTTATCTAGGCGGGAATGACAGTCAATTGCTAGATTGGGACCGAAGGTGTGAAACTTTTACCAGCCCAGCAGGGGATGAAGCCCAGAGGCTGATCTGACAAAGAGGTGAAGTCTCCCTGTCGCTGAGGGGGGGATGAGGGACGACCTTAACTTCCACCCACAAGCTTCAGGCGCTAACCTGCTGTGAGAGGTAGAGACAGTACAGCCCCCACTAGCATGAGGAGCTGGCTGGATCCCAACCCTGGAAGAGCTGGCAAAGTGGTGCAGAAAGAAGGTGGGGAGTGAGCTGTTGTCTCACATGGGAACTGGGGAAAGCACAGTGCTGGCAGCACCACGCGTTGACTCTGTGGTTCACAGTGAGCAGGGGCCACAGAAGGACTAGACCAGGTTCACTTTCATGTATAAGCTTGGCTTATAACTTTCCAATCTGCAAACAGCCCATAGGCCGAGCTCCTCGTTTTCAGTGGACCGTGCATTCTAGGGGTGGGGATGCACGTGGTCTCACGTGGGAAAGCCCAGGCGGAGGGACAGAGAGTGGGGCAAGGCTGTTACACTGTGAGGGGTGAGAGCAGGGTTCCTCCCCAGCCCTGTCGCTCCCCTCCTTTTGTTGGGAGGTTGGCTTGGGCACTTCTTCAAAAGGAGGCTGTTTCTAGGGTTAATGTGATGAGTGTTTCTATATAAAAGGAGAACTGACAGTAGGTGAAGGTCAAGGAGAAAGTGGGTGGCGAGGGGGAAACATCTTATGCAGTGAGCCCTGGACCCTGAAGCCACACCCTGAGGACCCATGTCCCCTCGGGAGCCCAACGTGTAAACTCCCAGTGAAATGCACGCTCCATGTGGCCAGCAGACTGGGTGTGCCACACCAGCCTTGCCACTTGATGGTGACCTTGGGCAACTACACACTTTCCTGAGCCTCGGTTTCCCCGTCTATGAGGTATGAGGGGTGAATAAAATGATCTCTAGAGGCACATCCGCTGCCAGAAGTCTACAAGCCCATGGAAACCTTCCAGTGGGTTTTCTGTTTTCTTTGTCATCAAGCTGCTGACCTGTACTGTGTTGAAATCCCGCCCCGGGGGAATTTAGCAGGCCAGGGAGGCACTTAGGGAGAAAGGATGGGAAAGGGGACCTTGCTAAGGGTGCTGGAAAGTGGGACACAGAAGGGAGCGGAGAGGAGAGAAGGGGAGTGGGAGGGGAAGGAACAGTGCTGCCGTTGGGAGTCAAGCCTGGGAGGTGCCTGACTTCTGCTCCGCCGAGCCAGGAGCCGCTCCAGGAAATAGCACACTCGGATGGTCTCGCTCATGTGCACCAAGCAGGCCTGGAGTGGGAACAGGATGAGTGTGCCCAGGGCTCGTGGGAGAAACAGATGCAGGCAGAATGTTCCGGAGCATTTCAGGGGAGGGAATTCCTCTGGGGTCGGGGAGCTCACTAACCCGGGGAGGAGGGCCCCCCTAATACCCAGTGAGACCCTCCTACTAACTCATGCTCTGGGTAGAGAGCAGGCCCTTCCCCCTCTGCCAGCGCTGTCTGCCTCCCTGTGGCCTCTCTTTTAGAATCTTCTGCGCTGGCCGTCCTCCTTCTCCTCCAGGGATGCCTGTGGGGGTCTGGTAATTAAGTTACCGAGGCTTTGGGAGATCTCGTGACTTCATTGCACCTGTAATTTCCTCTGAAAAGACAAGTAGCTGGGGACGACTAATTCCTAGTGAGGTTAAACCTTTCGGACATCCATAAGGGGCTGCCGCTAGAGCCACTGCAGATCCTGGGGACACTGCACGTCCTTGGTCACTCAGCCACACTCACCTGCAAAGGCATCTCAGGGTCAAATTCAAACTGGGGGATGAGCTTGGACCAAGGCTCGAATTTCTTGGTCTCTGGGTCTATGTAATAGTCAAAGATGGTTCCTTGGGAGGGAAACTTGACTGTTTTGAACTCGGTCAGCCACCATTTGCTGAACTCTGCCCGGTCGTCCACGAGCTGCCAAAACAAAGCAGGTAGGAGTCAAGGCTCTGCAGAGCACAAGAAGCCTGGAGAGGCTGCCCTGCATCGGGCAGAAGGTCAGGACCGGGAGCAAAGAGGGCTCCTGCTTATCCCCCGAGGATCGACCCCAACAAGGCCCAGCTGAGCAGGGGCTTCCCTTGAGCATGTACATGTGCCCCTGCTTGACCAGGTGGCTGGGTCGCCCTGGCATTATGCATCTCAGAGCACTGGCAGGTGGAGGGTGAGGGAGGGAGGTATAAGAACACAGAGGAAAGTAGGAGCCTATGGCCCCAAGATGGGCAAGTGCAGCCAAGATCTCCTGAAGAGACAGATCCTCCCCGGTTCCCCTAGACTCCCAAGGCTCTGAGCAACATCCAGGACAGCAGTCAGGGATAGAAGGAATAAAATGGTGGCTGTTGACACGTGGGCGCACAGGATGGTGCGGTGAGAAGAGCCTCAGCTGGGGAGTCGTGCACATAACCACTGACAAATCACGTCTTTCCATGCCTCAGTTTTCTCATCTGATTCTAGGAAAGGGTATTTCTAAATTTCTTTCAAGAGCTAAAATTCTAAAAATCTAGGAGAAGCAGAGACAAAGGTATACAGGTCTTTCTGATGGAAGGAATAGGTAGCACTATATATGCATACATGTTAGATCATGAGCCCCTAAGGATAGGGCTGTGCACCCGTGTACTCAAGCTAGTGAGTCCAAACTGAAACACAACACACAAAAAAACATCCCAAACATACCCGCTGCTACTGGCAACTCTCTGGGGGAGCAAACCCACTCTTTGAGCACGCAGACCTAGGAAAAATCCTAAAAAGGGAAGAGGTCCAGATTGGGCATTTTAGGAAATGTTCCTGGGGAGGAGGACAGACCAGGGAGCTGGGCGCACGGCAATGAATCTGGACTTGGAAGAAATGGCACTCATTTCGCTATTAGGTAAATAGGATTGAATTCTTTTGCCTTAAAAAGAGAATGGAAATAGGCCTTAATGACAGATTTGTTTGCTGTTCTTATTCTGCTCTGAATTCAGATTAAGAGGACACTATCTTCCCAATATTTGTTCTCGGCAATCAGAAGCCTTAGGGAAAAAAATCTCCATTTTTGACTCATGGATAAAATTCTTTTTTTTTTTCCTCTGTGTAATTCTTTATTAAAAATACTGCTGTGCACATAGAAACTGAAAGCAGGATTAAAGGTGAATAACCCAGACTGGGATCATGACATTAGAATTTAACATTCTGGTGCTTTTTGGGGAAGTTGTTGACATCCAAATCACAGAACCAGGGTCAAAGCAAAATACAAAGGTACCCTAAAAAATATTTACAATGAAGTAAATATACTAACAGAATTTGAAATAGGTACAAAAAATTAAAATGACCAACATTACATGACTTCAAGGGTTGTCCTTTCTGTGCTTTTATCTGTCATAACAGGAAGGTGTGGGAAGTTTATACCCTTAATTTGAGTACTCTCAGGTATTAAAATATTCCTATGAATTAAAAAGACTAACTTTTAGATAATCTCTTACATGGAATTACACCATGGAAAAGAGTGCTTCCCTCCCCAAAACACCAAGGCAGAACTAAGAGTGCTATTGAAAACCATTCCCAATAAAAACTAAATGAAAAATAAATTAAAAAACAAAGCTTAACATATATGTATTACCTGACACCAGTTGTTTTCTGGCTGACAATATTTACTCATGAAAACATATTAGCTGTCTACCTTTGGATAAAATTCTTGAAGACCTTTAACTTCCTAATGAAAACCATCTTTTAAGTTTATATGGAGAATCCAAGACAAAGACCATCTCTAGAAAGAAGGAGGTTGGATGCACCTTCTTTCCTCACTCCCAATTCCACCTTGAGCTACTCCATCAGTTTCTCAGCCAAGCCATTAGCTGGGCTACACCAACACTGTCTGGCTTCCTGCAGTCTTGTGCTTGACCTCACCGTCTACTGTAATTGGACACTGGAAAGACAAGGTCACCTCTGCTGAGTCATCCCATGGCCTTTTCTCAGTTTGACTCTTTGAGTGACTCGTCAGCAATGACCTCAGTGAAGAGTCCCCTTCTGAACCCCATCTCCTGAAGGTTGTGACAATTCTCTGGTCCCTTTCCTGCACTAAGTCTGTACTGGCACATAGTGAGGTACAACGTAGCAGAGTTTGGAACACAATATCACCTCATTTGGTCTTCACAATGCTCTAAGTCATCCTGGCTACTGAAAATTACTCCTATTTTATGTACGAAAACACAAAAGCTCAAAGGTTACACCTCCGGCAGCATATGGCAGAATTGGGAGTTGAACCCAGGTTCTCAGTTGCCCAATCCGGTGCTCTCTGAGAGATCATTTACTTCTGAGAGATAATTCCCTGGAATTGCTGCAAAGTATTTAGCCAGGATCCACCCCTCCCTTTTTTATCAGAACTTCTACCCAAGTATGGGCTGTATTTTGTATTATATTCTGCTTTGCTTTAATAACAGCTTTTTAAACATAAGCACCATTGGTGTTCCTGATGCAAATATTTTGGCCAACTTCATACTTTTTGATTTACAGCACTATTTTGTGTTGGGCTTGAATGCAGGCTGTGTGGGGGGCTTGGACAGTCCCTGCTGCTAAAAGCTTTCTCCCGTGTTCTCTCCCCACGTGCCAGCACAGCCGCCAACAGCTCCAAGTGCTCCAGAGCCCGCGGCGCCTGGAGGGATGCTTTCTCCCGGGCTTTTAAAAAGAATTGAGTGGATTTAAATTTTTCTACACGGAGATAGAAAAATTGACCAAGAGTCTTCTTCCTGATACCCTACTGCCTGCTCAGCACCAGCGTGAGAGAGAAGCCCAGCGGTGGTTGCTGTCTGACATTTCGGCAGGCGAAAGGTCAGGGACTGCATTTGAGGGAAAGCCACAACCTCTGCGTTCCGGATCTCTGCGCATTCATCGAGGCTCTCGTCCATCCTGGTGGACGCATTGGCTCCTTGCCTCAAAGGGGGAATGTGGAGCTGGGAAAGAAGCAGTCCATGGAGAAGCTCCAAGGGCCGCAGAACAGACTGCATGAAATTCTCAGCTGTCAAACTCCCAGTCCAGGCATCCTCCTGCCCTTGGAGCATCCCCCTTCCCCGCCAGCGTCTAGCTCCGGAGAGGAAGATGGAGAAAGGCACACCTCCAGGGGCTTCTGAGAGCTGCTTTCTGAATTGTGAGCACCAAGAACATGTAGGGGGTGATGGGAGGTAGGATGAATGCTATAATCAGAGCCCGTGAAAACAGAGAATAAACTGATTGTAAATTCTAAATTAATTGTTAATTCTTCCAGCTCACCTTCGTTTTGGATTCTTAGAACATGGCTTGCCCTGGGAGGCTGAAATTTTTACCTTTTTATTTGGAAAAGCCCATAATCAACCCAGACCAGAAAGAGTAAATTATAACTCTCCAACACTCGAAGCTTGGTTTAATCCCCTGTTGTGAGAAAGGCACCAGATATTTGCTATGAAACTGAATATCTGTGGTAGGAGAACCTTAATAATAAACACTATTCTAAGAGCTTTACACGTGGGCAATTAGAACAGCATCCCTTCATTTAATGCTTACAAACATCCTAGGAACTGGGTACCACTATCATCGCTCTCATCTCCTTTGCACACACGGGGAGAGTAAGGCGGAGAGAGGTTAAATTACTTGTCCAGGGTCCCCAGGTAATAATAAGTGGCAGAGTTAGAATTCAAATCCAGAGTCCATGTTCTCAGCCTCTATATGATACTGCCTGATAGCTAGTCAGTTCTAAAAGACTGGTCTGCCTAACCTCAAATATGTTGTTTCTAGGTAAAGTACCTTTTATTTGGAGGAAACTAAGTAAAGAAGAGGTTGGGAATACACAAGGCTTAGAGAATAGGATGCCAAGACACCCCCAAACAGCATGAAGCTACAGCAGCCAACACCATGAGATGAATAGTACTTTGGCTTCCTACCCCTAGATGCCAATTAGCCTTTGGTCTAGCCTTCTATGGACAGCCCTGCGTTTCAGGGGTATGAAGATGTGATGGTTGGTACAGAGGGGTACACGCCTGTTCTGTAAAGTTTTTAAGAAGCCTCCAGGGACTCCCCCTACTCAAGCTTCTACAGTACAGCATCACTCCACCTACAAAACACACATCCCCCTGCAAAATAAGGTACTTACACCTCCAGTTTTTCAAACTCAATCAGCAACTGTCCAAGAAATTAGGGATACATTCACTAACTCAAAAAACCACAGCTCAAAACATAGCCCAATCTCACCTGTCTCACTACCTGAAGCCCTCCTAAGGGGACTGACGCCTTTAGCAGAACAAGGGAGAGATAAGTAGTTTGATGCTTCTGTGTTAATTCTGACTTTAGCTGTTCTGTCTTCCAAATCTTTGCTGGTTAGCGTGGGTGTTAGCCTCAGCACACCCTCTTACCTGATCTTGGACCATTGCTCCGCCAAAAGCCCAGATGGCAGCAAACACAAAATAAAGCTCGTAGGTTTCCTTGGGGCAGTCTGCAGGGATGTCCTCATCCGTCAGCAGACACTCGAGAAGGTGGCACAGCATCTGAACCATGCTCTGCTCTGGGGTTGGAATTATCTTCTTAAATCTGCAAAGAGAGACACAGATATGCTCTAAAACACTGGATTTTTCCATCCTAGAGGCATTGTTGGACAGCTATGGAACCCTGTTGGTGTCTGTGGACTCACGATTTGACAAGTTCATGCAGTTTTGCAGCAGCAAAAACTTTGGTATTATAGAGGCCCATGGTACTACTTAAGATTTGTTTTCATCAGCTGTTTGGGAGTCTGCTCCCTTTGCAAAGAAGGAAGGGACCGGAGCCCTCCTGAGATCTTCCCTTTTCTCATCTTCCTTTCCTCTGATGCCCTCCCCTCCTTCCCTTCTCTGAACATTGAGGACGCCCCCCCCCCGCCACGACCCCTGCCCCAGTCCTTGAGGAACGTAGGAAGCTGCAACAAAACGAGTAAATATCTCACAGTGCCACTGTTTCAATTGGCAAAAATCACCTACAGAGCCAAGGTGGGTACAATTCTGAGGCTGTTCCTCCACTCCTCCAGCTCAGAGGAGTGCCCTCAATTCAAACACATTGAAAACGTTTTCTCTGGGGCTAGAGTCCTGTGTGGGGGAGGGAGAGTGGGCCAGGACAGAGGTGATTTACATGACTAAGTTCTCTCTTTCATAAATATAGCTCTGTGACTATGTCTTGACCTGAATTTGTACTTTCCATCTTGGTTTAGAGGTCTTGGCTGAAAGGCAAGGTATCCAGAGATACACAAAGGTGCACCTACATCCAAGGGAGCAGGAACACACAGACAGACACACAGACACACGCACACGGCACTCTCATCCCACCAGGCGTACACATGGAGTGCACTACGGACCCACATACTCAACCCCTCCTACCCTCGTCATCACCTCCCGGGGAGGATGAGCTCACAGGCCGCACAGAGGCAGGGTCCACTGTTATAAGATGAACAACACCATCAACAGACATCTTAGAAGTCATGTGCCAGCACTGGGCCTCGGAGTTTCATGGCGTTCTATCCTCTTCAGTGTTTTGTGTTGTGTTGGTTTTGAGTCTGGCTGCAGTCCTTACAACAATGCTGTGAAGTGGTCTAAGAGTCTAGGCATTATGTCCATGAGTAACAAAGAAACTGAGTGCTTGGGAGGCTTTCCTTCATTTCTTCAATGTATATTTGTAACAGAATGTCAGAATGGAACTGCCCCAGGCTCAGTTTTGGATGAGGTGCTGACACAATACAGGCCAACTACTCTTCCAATTCCAAACTGAGATTCCAGACAACCTGGCCTCTGGTGCTCTCAAGGATTTATAGCCGCGGTCCCAAACCTTTTTGGCACCAGGGACTGGTTTTATGGAAGACCATTTTTCCCCAGATGGGGGCAGGGGATGGCTCAGGCAGTAATGAGGGTGATGGGGAGAGATGGGGAGCGCAGATGAAGCTTCACTGGCTTATCTGCCACTCACCTCCTGCTGTGCGGTCCGGTTCCTAACAGGCTGCGGACTGGTAGCGGTCCGTGGCCTGGGGGTTGGGGACTCCTGGTTTATAGGATCAAAGTGGTAGATGCTGAAGGGGCTAGAAATGAGCACACAGGACTTTGGGGAGGGCTCTGGGTGTGCAACGAGTGCCCCTCCTACAGGGAAGGCAGGTGCTCATCCTGAACAGAGACCCTCAGAAAGGGGCTCCCCTAGGACCCAGGCTCGGAAGTCCCTGGGGAGACCTGCTAACCTTGCAGTGCAGGGTCAGAGGGTGCTCGCTGGGGCACTAACCCTGGGGTCCAGGTATGGCCGTGAGCGTGTGGGCTTGTTTAGACACTGGTGAAGGGGTCCAACCTGGAGGGTTTGTGTGAGGAGCTGTACTCGACTAGCTGATGGAGAGGCATTTACTTGCTTCAAGGGAAGGCATATTGGGGATCTCCAGGGATGGGAGGGGTCCAAGCGACCCACAAAGGCTTCCAAAGAGTCATTTCCAAACGTGCCACAGCTGGGGTAAATGAGGTCACACCAGGTCCATCATTAAGGCCTTTCCTGCCCATCACTCTCTTCCCTGTGTCCCCCACTTCAACCTTGAGGGATGAGAAGCTACAGCTGGTAAGGGCGCGACTGGTAGAATAAGGACAGAAGTCAAGAACTCTGTCCTTTCCCACTGTAGGTGGAGGGCTATGTGGGCAGTGGGGGAGTTTGTATGTTTTTTCAATTTTCACCGCCTCTTTTAAAATTTTTCGCACGTGCATGTGCACGTGTGTGTGTGTGAGATTGTGTGACTAGAAGTGATGAGATGCATTTTTATTACTGAAGAAGGACCAGTGAAATCAGCAACATGTTGACCTAGATTTTCATCCAGGGGCAGAAGGAGAACATAAAATGTTTTTGAAAGAACATCGGGAGACAAAATAAAGTTGTTTATAATCACCCATTATGAGCCCTGCTTGTTCAATATAAAAATTACTGTGTTGGCATTGCTTTGTCGTGACGGGGCCACAGAAAGCTGGCATTACGATACGGTGATGAATAAAATAGAAGTAGGACTTTGCAGTGAGTGTCTTGTCACTACCAGCTGAGGCACTGAGTGAGCACCATGGGACCTCGGCTCCCACATCTGCAGGATGGTCGGCCCTCATAAGGATATTGTGAGAATTACATGAAGGAAACCCAGAGCGGGCACCCTCAACCACAGCTATGGGTTTTTCCTTGATAACCACGGGGCTCAGAGACTGGTGGCAGGGGGATGTTTCTCTGGATGGACTTAATACAGTGTTTAAAGTTTGTTTCAGAGGCTGTGCTTGCACACGAGCACACACGCGTACAGACACACACACACACACACACACACACACACACACACACACACACACACACGAGTTTGGTATCTCTTGTTCTAAATGCCCAGAGTGGGAAATGGCCTAATTTTTAGTTAAGGATAAATTGTACAAGTGTCTCAGCAAACCTTAAAGAACAGGGGATGTTATTTTCCTAAAACCTCCGCCTTTGTTGCCATTTTAACTCTTTGCAGCCCTTGTCTATCTGAGACACTAACCACGACTGCCTACTTCCAGACTCTTGCTGCCACGGCTGCTTTATCACATTAGATCCCAGGGCCACAGAGCTCACAAGCCACAAGGGGTTAAAGGCTTTTTAAAGGCTTTATGAAAACGCTGAAGTTTGGAAAAATAATTATTAACCCTGAAGTATAACAAAATCAAAACTAATAAATGTTTAATATCTGAAAACATATCACTATGTCAACTATTCAACTGTGACTCAGTTTTTACTTACATAAAATTCGTTCTTAACACAGTGGATTTTGATGGGGGAGGGCGGGGCACATGAAGAAAGAGTGCCTCGGGCCATTTTGCCCTGGGAGCTCTCCCTTCATCTCTGCTCCGCGCTTGCAAGCATTTGCCATCCTGTTTCTCAGGCCAATGAATAAGGAGCTGGGAATCATTTTGAGTGATAGACTTTATTTCCAGGAACATCAACCTGACTCTGTTTGTTGAACGTTCAGGAACTGAGGATCTCTGAGTCACACTGCCTTCACAGCACCAGCTTCTGATGGTGCAACTGGGCTGAACAACAGGGCTGAGTACCTGATTCGTTGAATGATGCGTCAAATGGCAAAGAAAGAGAATGTAAAACAAAAGCAGGTTCCAAACACTGGAACCCTTCTCTGCAAACATGTATAATATTCTTGCTATAATAAGTATCCTTTTGGTTAAGGGCAATTACTATTTTGTTTATGTGGTAAGTGGTCAGGGCTGTTGCTTTTACTTTTGCAAACCCATTGGAGGCAGAGTGAAATCTTAGGGCCCAGGGGGGCAGGACTGGTCAAATGATGCATTATACCCAATCCTGTATCATCTAGGCCATGCATGCCCACAGCCAGGAACAGGAAGTGGGCGCCTTGTGTTGCTCACAGGTGTCATCTTCACCTCTAGGCCTGTTGATCTGGCCTGTATCACGTGTAGGAGGGCCAGCTGAGTGCCCTGCGAAGCAGAGGGTCTCAGGATTGCTGTCCCTGCTACCACAACCCGCGGCCTCCTCCAGACACACCCTCGCAGCCCTCCAAAAGGTCCTTTACATCTCTCTCCTCTTCACTCACCTCGCTTCCTGCCTGAACTGACAAAAGGCATCCCATCGCCGTCCTAACGTGTGTTCCCCTCTGCCATCTGCCACACCCGGGGTGGAATGCCTAGGGACATCTGACTTTGGGGACAGGACAGAACATCAGCGGGACATCAGGTATGGACCAATAGGCTCTTTATTGCTTGTTTCCTTCCTTACCCCTTGGCCTACCTGGTTCTGAGTGTGTCTAAGCAGGCTGGAAGATACTTGTCAAACAGAAAGGTTAGGTTGGCTCTCTCTGTCTGGATCTCCTTCTTGTCGATCCAGCTGCTCACAGGAGGGTTCCACCCCAGGTCTGCAGGGTTGATGTACAGGATCCCTGGGAGCGTAGAGGATACAGCTTAGTGACATTTCCATAGATCTCAGGGTATTCTTCCTCCCAGAGAGTTATTTTCTCTGTTTAGAAAATGTACTGAAGGCTGGGCTTGAAAAAACAGAGATCTGGTCGAGGTCTGAGAGGGCAAATGGGTTTGCTATTGGGATCAACTCCGACTGACTGATAATAGCTGATGGAAAGCAGGGTTGAGAAGGATTCTGAGGCCAAGTCTAGGCTCAGGAGGAAAGCAGGCTGTGATTGATTAGCAATACTTGTCATGGTGAGGAAGGGTGCAGATCGCATGGTGGCCCCTAAAAGGATGGTACCGTGTCCCACCCAGGAAAGTTAACATATATTGCTTTCCACCAGGATGTGGTGAGAAATTGCAATGCTCAGTCATCTTCATTAGCCTTCACGGAGGCTAGAACTGGCCTGAAAGTAGCCTAATTTGAGGCACTTATGTGCAGAGGACTGTTGTTCAGCTCAGGGGCCAATCCCTTCCCATTACCATAACATTTCTGAATTGAGACGCTCACATGGTCCTGGCTGTAGAGCACTGGCTCACCTTCGTGGGTGTGGATTAGGGCTGAGAATCAGGCCGGGGTTTTGGAAGCTCCTATTTGGAGCTTCCTTCAGAGCCAGCAACGTCATATGTATCACTAGAGGCACCCGTTTTCAACTGAGCAATTGTGGTTTTTCCTTTCGTGGGCCATACCTGCTCTGGAGACAGTGGCTGGCGTGGTCATGCGCAGGTGGCTGATCTCAAAGAGGAGCCTCACTGTGGGATTCAGAGCGATCCTCTCGTTGCTCGCCAGGGTCAGCACCTGGACACAGGAGGAGGGACACGGCAGGTGGGGAGGAGTTAGGTCACATGGCCAGCTAGGGGAAGTTAGGCTATTATTCCTGATAGGAATTAGGATGATTATTTTCTTCTTTGTGATTATAAGCATTTTCTAAATTTTCTGCAACAGTCCTCTCTCTCTCCTTCTGTAGCCCCTTTACCGCGATCCCTGTTGTGTGTATTGAATCAGGAAAAAAGCTATCTAAAAAGTTGAAGTGGATGTCAATGATTTGAATGAACTAGACCATAATGAAAAAGTAGGATAACTAAAGGAACAGAGCTCAGGTTTCATACAACTCCTGTTTCTTCTGGAAGAGCACACACTCATTCTAATGATTCTGTAAACGTTGAAACCATCGTAAAACGTCTAGCCTAGATGTGCTTTACGAACAAGTTTAGAAACAGTTCCCAGCTTAACAGCCACTTTATTGGCATTCAGTTTTCATTGTTTATAAAAAATAAAACATATTCTCCATGGATAAAGATTGGTCGCCATTGAGGATGCATGACAGGCTCAGAATGTTTCTGATCCTCAGTTTCCTTATTTATAAACAAAGAAGAAAAATGTTTTAAAGATTTGAATAAATGATTTCTTTTCAGCTCTAAATATTGAATTAACCTGCATGCAGAAGACTCTGAAGGAAATTACAACAATACTAAAAACATGTGAGTGATGGCAGTGCCACTGAAGAAAGTGAAAGTTGCTCTATGGGATGAATCACTTCTAAGGCGTCTACTGAAGATACCAGTGAGTGAAATCAGGATCTTGAAGAGTTATCTGCTATCTGCACTCCATGTTCACTGGAGCATTATTTACAATAGCCAAGATGTAGAAACAACCTAAGTGTCTGTTGATGGAGGAATGGATAAAGAAAATGTGATGCACACACACACACACACACACACACACACACACACACACAGAGTGGAGTATTATTCAGCCATAAAAAGAAGGAAATCCTTCTCCAGGTTCATCCATGACAACACGGATGGATGGACTTGGAGAGGGTTATGGTATGTGAAATGTCAGACAGAGAAAGACAAATGCTATATGATCTCCTTATATGTGGAATCTTAAAAAAATAAACTCATAGAAACAGAGGGTAGGTTGGTGGTTTCCAGGGATGGGGGTGTGGGGCAGGCAGAGGAAATGCGTGAAGGTGGTCAAAGGGTAGAAACTTCCAGTTACAAGATGAATAATGTCATGTACAGCATGGTGACTAGAGTTAATAATACTGTATTGTGTACTTGAAAGTTGCTAAGAGTAGATCTTAGAAGTTCTCACCACACACACACACACACACACACACACACACACACACACACACACGTAATTATGTGAGGTAATGGAGGTATTAACTAACCTTGTGGTAATCATTTTGCAAAATATATTTCAAATCATCACGTTGTACACCTTACACTTACACAGTGTTATACATCAATTATATGTTGACAATGTTATATGTCAGTTATATCTCAATAAAGCAGGAAAAAATAAAGACAGCAGTAATGATTCCTTGTGCTGGGCCAGTCCTGTGTGGAATCAAGGTTTCCAGATATACCCAGGGACTGGTTTCATTGATGATTAGGGATGACGTGGGGTACCCTTCCCCCTTGGTACCTTGTTGTCATCCATGACAGTGTTCAGAGACTCGATCCACATTGGATCTATGTCGCCATCCAGTAGAATCCACTTGGGCCCATCATGGGTGATGTTGGAAAGCTCCCGCATGACGGAAGAGAACAATCCTAAGAGGAACCATGGATATCTTAATTTCCAGGTCACCATCAAGCTTCTTCCTCTTAAAACAGCCTTTTCCTGTCAGCTAAACACTCAGAAGGAGGTGTACATAGGCAGGTCAGAAGTGGCTTTGTAACTTAGGCTATTAAGAATCTGACCACTCCCAAGGTTCCACTCTCTCTGTGCCAGCTTTTTGTAAGAACAGCAGCAACAGCAAAACCTGATGGTACTACTTTTTAACTGACAAGGGACCCAGTGAACCATTTCAACAGGCAACTGTGACGTGATGGAATGACATAAAACCCTCTTAGGTAAGGTTTTCATCCTTTGAAACTGCAGCCTGGGAGAATCCTGCCAAATGCAGGCTTTGAGAGAAGGCCCTATGTGATTCTAGTTGGCGTTACATGAAATTTCTCTCTTAATTTGGATAGAATTGATTTTTTATAATACTAACCTTTCCCAATCAATAATATGGTATATCTTTTCTTTTATTCAAATATTGTTTTATGTTCCTTAATAAATTTTTACAGCATTTTCAGTGTATCTCTTTGGCTAAATGTATCCCTAAACATTTCAGTTCTTATTGTTATTGTGAATGGAATTTTTTTTCCTGACTTTCAGTTTTAGTTGACGACTGCTAGTATAGAAAAAAGCTTTCAAATTTTGTGTATTTTATTTTATACTTAGTTACCTTTAATACATTTTCTTATTAATTCTAGTGATTTTTCAATACTGTCTCTAGAGTTTTATAGGTATAAAGTGGTATAATCACCAAAATAATAATTATCTCCTTTCCTCCAATTCATAAGATGTATTCCATTTTCCTGTCTTACTGCATTTTCCAAAATCCCACCAAGCAAATCTGAATAATAATGTTGGTAATAGGTCTCCTTGGCTTATTTCTGGTTTTAATGGAATTGGCTTTATTTTCTCATCATTCAGAATGCTCTTTTTTTCCTTTTGGCCTTAGGTAAAGAGTATTAATTGTACTTAAGGGATTTCCTTCTATTCCTATTTTACTTAGAATTTTTAAAATTAGGAATGGCTACTGAGTTTTTAGCACCTATTTATTGATGAAATTATTTTTTCCTTTAATTTGTCAATGCTTTATGTTAATACTTTAAAAGTAATTGATTTATCCTTACATTCCTGGAACAGATGCTACTTGGTCAGAATGTATTATTCTTTTGAGATACTGATAGATTTCAGTTACTGATATTTTATTGAGAATTTCTAAATCCATATTAATAAGTGAAATTGGGCTATTGTTTTTGGTTCTGCACAAAGGTTGATATCAAGATTATTTTGGCTTCATAAAATGAATTAAGAGGTGTCCTTTTATGATTTTGGAATTATCTTTCTTTTATTCAGCTACTATTTTAAAATTTTCCTTTTCATTACTTTTTCTACTTCTTATTGAGTAGATTTTTTAATTCTTTTTTTTTCAATAAGTTTTTATCAGAGTATAGTTGCTTTACAATGCTGTGTTAATTCTTATTGAGTAAATTTTGTTAAAATTATATTTTGCTAGTGGATCATCTATTTCTTCTAGTTTTTTGAATATGTATCATCTAATTGTGTCTCTTCCATTTTAATCTTGTCTATATCTACTGTTATATCTTCTTTCTAATTCCTAATCTTACATACTTTTACTCTCTCTTTCCCCCATTAATCATGCTCACAATGGACTTATTGGTCTTTACAAAGAACCAGTATTTATTTTTATTTATCCTTCCTATATTTTTTTGTTCCTTCCCACTAGTTTCAGCTTTTATCTGTATTGGTTTCTTCCCAGTTTTCTTCAGGCTTAGTTTATTACTCTTTGAATAATTTCTTAGGATGGATAGTGATTTCCTTTATTTCTAGCCTACCTTCTGTAATTATTTAGAGTTGAGTTTTTCCTTATTGGCTTTAGATGTGTCCCAGAGGTTTCTGTGTGAAGTATTCTTCTTTATATTGCTTCCAAGAGGGGTTGCAATTTAATTTTCCCTTTAATCCAGGGCTGACTGTTTCTTGATTGCAAATAGTAAAATTATTTTTGGTCATTTTCTGGCTATTTGTTTCTAATTCTATTGTATTAGTATCAAACAATGTGGTGTGAAAATTGATACTTTTGAATTCATTACAATTTCTTCTGTGCTCAACTAAAATTTAATTTGTTGGAAATGTTCCATGAGCCTACCAAGAAAGGGATATTTTCTATTTACAAGATGCAAAGTTCTATATCAGCATGTTACACTGAGTTTGATGGATGCATTTCCTAATTCTTCTATGTCTATACTTATTTTTCTGTCTACTGAATCTTTCAAATTTTGAAAAAGGTGTATTAATATAATCCACTATATGTCTACTTTTATCAAGTTCTCTTAAAATGTTTTAAAAAGTTATATTCGGGCTTCCCTGGTGGCGCAGTGGTTGAGAGTCCACCTGCTGATGCAGGGGACACGGGTTCGTGCCCCGGTCCGGGAAGATCCCACATGCCGCGGAGTGGCTGGGCCCGTGAGCCATGGCCGCTGAGCCTGTGCGTCCGGAGCCTGTGCTCCGCCAATGGGAGAGGCCACAACAGTGAGAGGCCCGTGTACCGCAAAAATAAAAAAAAATTTAAAAAAAAGTTATATTCCACTTATTTGAAAGTTCTCATTTAGTGAATACAGATTTATGATTATTATAAATCTTTTCCAATTTCTCCATATTTAATGTGTATATTTAATAAAACTTTAATTAAAATTCCAACACTGTTTAAAATTTGAATTATATTATGTGAGCTTAAATTTAATATGGAATAAGGAGTGCCTAAGACTAGCCGAGAAATTACAGAAAAATATTGAGGAGGGATTTACTTCATAAGACATGAAAATGATATATAATGATTATAACCTAGATAGAATGACATTAGTACAGGATTAGATAAACAGGTGAGTGGAACAAAACAGAAAACCCAGAATCAGATGTCAATACAATTGGCCCTCTGTATCTGCGAGTTTTGCATCCGTGGATTCAACCGTGGATTGAAAATATTCAGAAAAAAACAATTCTAGAAAGTCCCCAAAAACAAAACTTGAATTTGCCACACACTAGCAACTGTTTATATAGTATTTACACTGTACTTACAACTATTTATACAACATTTACATTGTGTTAGGTGTTATTAGTAATCTAGAGATGATTTAAAGTGTATGGGAGGATGTGCATAGGATAATGCAAATACAATGCCATTTTATATGAGGTCTTGAGCATCCATGGATTTTGGTATCCATAGGAGTTCTTGGAACCAATCCCTCATGGATACCAAGGGACAATTGCATATATGACAAGTTGGAATTTAAATTAAGAGGGAAAGGACAGTTTACTTAATAAATGGTGCTGTCACAATCAATTATCCATCTGGAAGGAAATAAAGTTGATTCTCTACCTTACCTCATACTAAGCCCCAAGTGAATAAAAAATGTTAATGTGAAAAGAACCTTTTAGACCAAATTTATGATACTATATAGCCTAAAGTTAGAAAGAGTTATAAACCAAATAGGAATTCCTGGTGCTAAAAAGACTAGACAGATATATTTCCTTCTTAAAAAGTGCATGGAAAACATGCCATGAAGTGTCTGTAGATAAATGGCAGACAGCGAAAAACCATTAGTGGTGAATATAACAGATACAGGGTTAATGTCTCTGGTATATAAAAAAAATTCTTACAAACTGATAAGAAAATAATAAGGAGGAATAAAATTACAAAAGAGCCAATTACTAAGACCAATAAGAAGGAAAGTATATTAAGCCTCATTAATAGTGAAATAAAAATTAGAGAGGCTGCTCATTAAATCCCACTGTTCTAGGCCTCTGATGGAAGGTCCTAAATTAGAGGAATCCAGGCAGTTTGACCCTGATTGGGACGACTACTAACATTGGGGTGTTAGGATGGAGCTGAGATTTCCTCATAACAGAAGCCACATTTGTTTTAGAAAGAGGTCCTATCAGCTCATATAGAGTTTTCTCCATTTTCTCTTCTGCTCTCTCCCAGTGACAGGAGACACGTTCCAACATCTACCAGTGATTTTTAATTCTTTGAAGGTGAGGCTGAGGTTAGCACCGAGTGAGCATGGGTTTTCTGTGGAAGGGACTGTGGTTCTAGGATCCTCCTGAGATGAGTTTTCTGTAGCAGCTTCCCCATCACTCCTGGGGCGGTGCTGATAGGGAGGTACCCTCTGAGGGATGCTAGACTGAACTGCTCCTTTCAGAATGAGCGGTGGGCTTTCCTATCCTACCCATGTCTTAGACCCTCTGCCAGGCAATGTAGAGACTCCATGACTTGCGTTCCAGAATCACGAAACTGTATCTGAGAATGCCTGCCTTGCTTTATCCTCTTTAAGGTGCCCTCTCTCAAGAGGCAGCTGAAGAGTCCCCAAGGAAAGAGACTATCCCAAGGGCTGAGGTTCCCCTCCAAGCCAAAATCGGTTTCCTTTCTTTGATTCTTTCCACCTTCTTTTCTAACCCGATACAGATCAGCCCAATGGTCCCTCCTCTGCATTCACCCTACTGCATTCTCTTCTGCCTAAGGGGCTGATTTAGTCGTATCCCGTTCTCACCATCCTTCCATTTTCGTGTGGCCGGATTGATGATGCCAAAGAGTTCATCGCTGGTGACTGCTTTGGGGTTGAGGTCAGTCCAGACGGGGCGGCGTTTCATGATCTGGTAGGTCTTGTGCAAGGACCTCAGCACCTGTGACTTGCCAGTTCCCGCGCTGCCCACCACGAACACGGAGTGCCGCATAGCCAGAAGCTCCTCCAGCTGGACCACCTAGGAGACATGGAATTCAGCCAGAGTGACCAGCCTGTCACTCACCCACGTCCCAACTGCTCTTCTGTGAGCCAGACTGGTGTCTGAAGTGAGACCGGAGGTCAACACAGGAAGGGTTACTCCCCGCAAGATGTGATGGGGTCATAAATGTAGGGGCAACATGATTCATTTACTCACTTATTCATCATTCCATCCTATAATTATTAGTCACAACAAAGTGCTAGGGAGTGTGCCTGGTGAGGGAGTTCAGAGATGACTCTCCGGCCCTCCATCATCTCACAGTCTGATGGAGAAGCAAGTCATGTTGACAAATTATTATCACGTAAGGCGATGATTGCTATAGCTGATGTATTTATTAAGAGCTATGGGAGAAGACAGGAAGAAACAACTGATTTTGCACAGATAAATGGAACACGAAAGGCTTCACAGAGAAGGGGGCATTTGAACTGGGGCTTCAGGGATGAGTAGGAGTTTGCCAAGAAGATGAACAGGAAGGATATTCCAGGCAGAGGAAACAGCACAAACAAAGGCTTGTGGTGTGACAGAGCATGACACAGTTGGCCAGATGGTTTGATGAGGCTGGAGTCAAGGAGCTCTTTGAGGACAATGATACAATTGACGGTATCATCACTCTTGTTCTAGTTTGCCTCCAGGCTCACCTTTCTACACTGTTGTACACTTACTGGGATGAAAATCTGATCAAGTCACTGCCATCACGTTGTCCCTTCAGTGGTTCTCCATAGTTTTAGTGATGAAATCCCAAATCCCTACACTGGTTTACAAGGCCCTTTTGCAGCTTGGCCCAGAACAGCTTCCAGTTTTATCTCTCATCCCTCAGCACACACATACCAGGTAGACAATTTCTTGGAGCTCTTTAATGATTCTCTTCCCTGTGCCTGGGCCTTTAACACACCGTGCCCTCTGTTCAGAAGTGATCCCATCTCCTGCCTTCTTCTGGCCAGCCCCTACACACCCTGCAGCCTGGGGTAGGTGTCCCATACCTACATCCTGCATCCTAGCACTTACCAATATTGCAATGGTTACTTTTCTGTCTGCCTATTAGATTATCAGCTACTCGAAGGCAGGCAGGACAGGACTTTTATTGATATTTCTCTACTTTCAGTGTCTAGCAGAGAATCAGGCAGAGACCAAGTGCTGAAGAAATATTTGCTGGAAATGTGAAGGATGGGGACTTCCCTGGTGACACAGTGGTTAAGAATCTGCCAGTGCAGGGGACACAGGTTCGAGCCCTGGTCCAGGAAGATCCCACATGCCACGGAACAACTAAGCCCATGTGCCACAACTACTGAGCCTGCACTCTAGAGCCTGAGAGCCACAACTACTGAGCCCGCGTGCCTAGAGCCCATGCTCCACAAGAGAAGCCACCACAATAAGAAGCCTGTGCACCACAAAGAAGAGTAGCCCCTGCTCACTGCAACTAGAGAAGGCCCACGCACAGCAACAAATACCCAATGCAGCCAAAACCAAGCAAACAGACAAACAAACAAACAAACAAATAAATAATTTTTTTTTTTTAATGTGAAGGATGGCTGGAAAGGTTGGATGATGCCTATCAGGAAAGGTCTTGCATGTCATGAGCTAAAACATTTGAACTTTATTGTAGATCAGGTTTCCTCATACTTTATACTATAAATCCTTAATAGCTGAGGAAAGTGAACTGAAGAGGAAATGTGCTAAAATGTTGACAGAACATTTCTGTGGGATAACAGAAAGTTTTTTCCCCAAACATTTTATTTATTCTACGTTAAAAAAATTACACTACTGTATATAAAACAGATAACCAACAAGGATCTACTGTATAGCACAGGGAACTAAACTCAGTATTTTATAACCGCTTATAAGGGAAAAGAATCTGAGAAAGTATATATATATATATTCAGATATATGTATCTGAATCACTGTGCTGTACACCTGAAACTAACATGACATTGTAAACCAACTATACTTCAATAAAATTAAAAAAAGTAAAGCAAATTAATTAATTTAAAATGACTCCTATGTTTTAAAAAATTTAATTGATAGGAGTGTTAAAAAGAATTCTAGAATTGTACAACAAGGGAATTAGGAGAGTGGTACCACTTATATGAAGAGAGTAATATAAAGGTAACTGATAAATGGCTCTTTGGGGAAAAAGACAATTAGCTTCCATTGTGGAAGGATAATTTATTGGGATACTGAGTTTTGCTTTCCATAGCATCAATATCTTTTCCTCCTTCATCCCAAGCTGTTGCTGTTCCTCTGATTCAAACCCCAAAATCACCCAAAAGAGATTCTCAATCCTGGCTCTTGTTTTCAGCTTTCAGGGACTCACTGAAGGATCTTCCCAGATAAAACTGAGGGAAGTGATCAGGAAGGGTCTCTGAGGAGCTGACATCTAAGCTAACATATGAATGAAAAAGAGTCAGCCATGTGAAGACCAGTGGTAGAGAATTCCAGGTAGAGTGACAGTGAGTGCAAAAGTCTTAAGTTCAGCAGCAAGCTTGGAGGGCTCAGAGAACAGAAAATTAAAAAATTAAAAAAATTAAAAAAGGAAGAGGGAGCAGTATAAGATGGGATAAGAGAGGTAAGAAGGGGGCAGATATGCAGAAATTGATACTTGGAATTTTATTCTGAGTACAACAGAAAGCATTTGGAAGATTTTAAGCATGAAAGTGACCTGAGGGTATTGCATTAAAATGGAGGAGGGCGGTGGTGGGGGGGCGGGTTGCCGCGGAGAACAGGAGAGGTGGTGGCAGTGGATGGTGTTCTGGCTACTGAATGGGGACTGTATTATAAACCTAGGTTTGTTTTTTTTTTTCCGTGAACTACTACTGACTGATTCCCTGATATCAGAAAGACTTAAAATTGCTTTCTAGTTCCATCAACTTCTTTTTGTTCAACAGCTGTACTGAGACATAATTCACATACCATAAAATTCACCTTTTTCCAGTGGCTTTTAGCATAGTCACAGGATTATACAACCATCACCACTATCCAATTTTAGAACTTTTTTTTTTTTCTTTTTTGCGGTACGCGGGCCTCTCACTGTCGTGGCCTCTCCCGTCGCGGAGCACAGGCTCCGGACGCGCAGGCTCAGCGGCCATGGCTCACGGGCCCAGCCGCTCCGCGGCATGTGGGATCCTCCCGGACCGGGGCACGAACCCGTGTCCCCTGCATCGGCAGACGGACTCTCAACCACTGCGCCACCAGGGAAACCCCAATTTTAGAACATTTTCATCAACCCAAAAGGAAAAACCAGACCCATCAGTAGTCACTCCCCATCCCTAGCCCTAATTCATCCCTGTGCAGCCCCTGATACACATTCTGCCTCTATAAATTTGACTATTCTGGGCGTTTCGGAAAATGAAATGACCTCTTTCACTTACAGTGTTCTCAAGGCTCATCTATGCTGTAGCACGCACCAGTGCTTCATTCCTCCTTACAGCTGAACGAAATTCCATTACATAGGCATATACCACATTTTGTTTGTCCATTTATCAACTGATGAGTGGGTTATTTCTACTTTGACTGTGATTAATCCACCAACTTTTGACAGTATCTTTTGTAAGGTAAATATATATGTATCTCTATCCTTCCTTTCACCTTTTCTTCTCGTTTCCATCTCCTATCTTCTGCCAGACACATTATACTCTTACATTGACATGTTTGATAATATTTACGTTCTGTTTCATACTTAGATTTAGACCTTCTCTATTTTCCATGATTCTAAGAGTTGAAGACAAATAGCGGCTTAGATTTTTACAATTGTAGATATTTTTCACTACAGAAGAAAGCAGTTGCCTGGAATATATCACGTTCTCTGTGGGCCTCATGTCATGACTTGACAGAGGATGTTCTGAACATCAATTCAAGGTCAAATAGATACTCTTTTCTTACACTCTATATATTGATCAATATCAGGTTCACACTTACTTTAAAAAAATCCTTTTTCTCTTAGTGTTTTTAATTTTTTTTCTTTGTTAAGACAGACATATGCCTTAGTTCTCATAACTGAGAATTTCAATAAAACACATGAGACATTGCATATTGTTTATCTATTCTTCCTTTGAATATATCTACTTTTCAGGTCCTTTTTCTTAGAGACCATGGACTTCCTGACTTGATTTGGATTGATTGCTTTCTAGGCCTGCTAACAGCTATAATTCAAGGACTTCCTTTATTTGATTCTTAAATTTTTGAATCCCATATTTTTCTTGTTTTTCATCATCGTTTTGCTATAGTATGTTCTCAAGTAACTTAATCAAATAGGATGAATACATAGTAAACTTTGTAACTCTTTGAAAATATCCTGAATGATAATTTGGTACGTAATTAGTTTCGAGATCATTTCCCCTCAGAACTTTGAGGGAATGGTTTCCTTGTCCTCTACTATCTGATATTGCTGATGAGAGGTTCTGATGTCATCCTGAATTTCATTCCTTCCTGGGTCACCTGTACCACCTTCTCAATCCGTCACCCAGCCAGGAAACTTTTATTTTTTTCTGGTGACCCTTGACTTCTGAAATTCTATTATGACGCGTCTTGGTATAAGTCCATTGAAATCCACTCTGTTCAGTACTGACTGAGCCCATGTAATCTGGACACGTTTGTCCAGTTCTTCAAGTGCTCTCTTTCTAGAATTCCCATTGGCCACACGTTACGTAACCTAGATAATCCTCTATGTGTCACCTTGACTCTCACACTATCTGTCTCTCTTTGTGTGTGTATTATATATATTATACTTTGTTATACACATACACACACATATATATATATAGTTTCATCCTGGGAGACTTCCTTGACTTTACCTTCTAATCCTCGCATTGAATTGTGTGTGTTATCAGTGATTCAATTTTACATTTCTAAGAGCTCTTTACAATTCTCCAATAGTTCTTTTAATTTTTTGATAGCATCTCATTCTTGTTTTATGGATCTCGTTTTCTTTATTTTCGTTAAGGATACTAATTAGGACTTTAAAACGTTCTCTTCCTAACTTCCCCTGGAGTCAGTTGCTGCGTGTGTATGTGCGTCTGTGTGTGGGTGTCTGTCAGTCTGTCTGTCTCTTGTGTTGTTGATTGCCTCCAGTATCTGGTGAGCCTCAGGTTTAAACGGAGAGCTGCACTGTGTTTTCTAGGAGGCTGGGGTGGGTGCTGTCTGCGGCTTGATATGCGGGTCTCCTTCCAGGCAGGGAGGACTGAGAGGGAGGTCTATGCTCCTAGCCAGATCTTGGTCTTTGTCTTTATTCTTCTACTTGTGGGTGAGTGAGCAGCTGCTGGCCTTCAGGCCGAGGAGCCCAAACAGAATGTATGGGCTTCAAACTCTTACAGCAGTCATAGTTTCCCTCCTAAAGAGTTTATTAAATTCCCTTAGACTTTTCTTTTTGGCTGCAGTTACATGCTTGGCTGTGCATGGTCCGCATTCTTGGGAACCTGGGCCTAGAAGGGGGAGGTGGGGGAGAGTGTGGGGAGCTAAGTGGTACAATGATTGGGTAAACAGACTTAATGCCCTCGCCCACCGGCTTAAGGCGCCCCCCCCGCACCCCGTGTTCTCAGTCTTCTTCCCCACCCCTGCCCTCCTTCACTGCCTAGTCCAAGCCCTGAGCTTCTCCAGGGCTCTGCTTGGCAGACTGGCCGCCTCCTGGCTCCTCTTCCCCTGAAGCCCTTTCTAAGCGTATTTGAGCCTGCAGCCCCCCTGCTCTGTTTGATCTGTCAAGCTGCTTTCATCCTCTTCCCATCTTTCCAGAAATCTATTCTTATATCCCCTTCCCAGTTTTCACACTTCTATGGGCTTATTCCTTTTTTTTTTTTTAAGTTATATTATCACTTTTAAAAGATTGCAGGATGGCTTCTCAAACCAGAGCTTCCCTAGAGGTTTTTGATGAATTAACTTTAAAAAGTTCAAGTGTACTGTGCTATACAGCAGAAATTAGAGAACATTGTAAATCAACTATATTTCAAAGAAAACAGTTCAAGTGGACAGTGTAAATGAAAAGTCGGTAGAAAACATCATCTACTGCAAGAACCTTTAGTAGATGGCATCTGTCTTATCAGAGGAGCAGAAAGTGGTTATGAAAAGAAGGGAAGAAAAAGAAGGAAACAATGTGGGGCAACTGACAAATAAATAGAAAGAGTGAGATTCTGAGCAGAAAAAAGTGCAGAAAATGGGGAAGGAGGGTCGTTTGCCTTAGCAGACTCTCAGAGAGGCTGGGAAGATGTGGACTGTCCTGATTCTAAGATGTCAGCCTCAGTGCCTGCATCCTAGGAGCCTCATCGGATTAACTCATCTCTGGGGTGAGGGTGCCCCTCAGGATCAGAGACTTTCAGAGGAAACCCCTCATCTGGCATCCAAAGCCATCTATAACATGGCCGCCTATTATCTTTCAGGTCCTATTGCTCCCTCCCCCTCCCCCACCCCAATACCTTTTTCTCTAGCCACACTGGACTTCTTGCTGTGGCTTGTACAATCTCTACGTCTCCCCATCTACCCTCGGCTGACCCTCTTCCCTCTATCTGGGAGGGCTTCCTGCCCATCTTTACCTTTAAAAAGTCTATCTACTAAACTTAAGAGGAGAGAGGTTGGGAGTGGGGATTGTTCCACGGGCAAAACCAATCACAGCTGCAAAGCACCAGGTGATGCTTTGCTCTCTTCTGTAAAATGTAATCTCAGAAATGAAAGCAGACACCAGTTCTGTTTATCTGTAGCCAGAGCTTAATCTCAACCAATGCAAGTACTGTGTGCTAGAAACCCCACCTGGAGTGGAGAAGGAACCAGCCCCCAGTCTGTAAGTTCCTCAAGGGGGAGCACTTTCTCTCCTGTGAAGCAGCTTGGTGGCATATCCTGGAGAGGTAATAGTAAAGGAAAAAAAATTCTGTCCTTATCCCTGTATTCCAGGACCCTCTCTTGTGGCACCTGTCACATCTTCCTTCCAGGTTTAGTTATTTGTGTGCAGGCACTTCTACTGTAACAACATCGATACATCCTAAAAATGTTACCTTCTGCAAACAGACTCATGGAAAAACAAGATTGTGCAGACCACTCAAAATGTACAGAATGTTGTATCCAAAGCCCTCAAAGCTCAACAATGCATCCTAATCCCAATAAAAACACTAGCACAGTGAAGAGAGCACTTGCAACCTACCTCATGTCCATTTATCCTCTGAAACCTTATATCTGGGGGCCTGTGCTTCTTTTTTCAAGAGGTAGATCATGGGTGTATGAATTTCTAATAAAGAACTAAAGATCGGATGTAGATGGAGCCTTCTTCACTAATCCACTGTTTTAATACATGAGGAAGTGACTTCACCCACCCTAAGGCTCCCCAGAAAACAGCACAAACCTCCATGGTTCCTACAGCCATGAGACTCGCTATACTTGCACTAAAGTTTCAGGTTTTCTTTCTTAAAGTCTATGTCTATTGCTAAATGTATTCATTTTCTATGGCTGTAACAAATTACTGCAGACTTAATGTCTTAAAATGACAGAAATTTATTACCTTACAGTTTGGGTGGTCAGAAGTCTTACTGTGCTCAAATCAAGGTGTTGAGGGCTGATTCCTTCTGAAAGCTGTGTGTGTGTGTGGGGGGGGGTCGGTTCTCTTGCCTTTTCTAGCGTCTAGAGGCTGCCCACACTCCCTGGCTCATGGCCCCGTCCTCCACCCTCAAAACCAGCAGTGGCTGGTTGAGTCTTCCTCCGTGGGGTCACTGACACTCTCTGTCACCCTCTTTCACTTAGAAAGACCGTCGTGATTATACTGGGCCACCTGGATAAACCCGGATCATCTCCCCACAGCCCGGTCAGCTGATTAGCAACCTTAACACCATCTGTGACCTTAATGCCCCCTTGCCACGTAATGTAACACGTTCACAGATTCTGGGGATTAGGTTGTGGACATCTTTGGCGGGGTAGGGGGAGGAATTATTCTATCTACCACCCTCAGGTTTTTCTTTAATTGTGTAAAGCCTGTCCCTGATCACTTCAAAGAATTTTCAAGATCAGAAAAATGCATAAGAACCAACACAGCTTCCACTTTACCTGACTGTCATTCCTGTATAGCGGTGCATGAAGTAATTCACATGAAAGGAACACATGCTATAGCAAAGCCTGTGTCTCATTCCTCCCATGAGAATGTGAACCCCCTGACGGTAGGGGATTTGTCCTTCTTTTGCATTCCTCACCACACATTCCACACTGTGGATGTCCCAATAAAGAGCTACTGAGATGAACTGAGTTATTGCAAAGTGGGTAAGTATCTGTACCTCTAAAGCTACACTTTGGATTAAGGATGAAGTATAATCCACTGTTCAAGAAAAGAATTAAGAGACCAGAAAATGTTGGCAAGGAAAACCCTGTACCTTGAGCACAAAGTTGTCCTCAGCCTGCAGCTTCAGCTCCACCACAGCCTTCCTAACCAAAGCTTCGAAGTTGAGGTCTCTCCTCCGAGGGACGTTCAGGGTGGGAAACAGGTCCCCGATCAGGCCCATGAACACGGGTATGTCGTCTGTCACAATCTTGGGGATGTTGAAGTCTCGCAGGGAGCGCATCAGGACCTGGTCCTCGGGCCGGTCAGGATCTCCTCGCTTCAGGGATCCCGCCACCACCAGCACAGACTTGATGGCCCTCAGGCCCCAGTCATAGTGATCCTGCGGGAAGGCAGCAGGGTTAGACGAGAGCTGCTGGGATGCACAACCCCATGGGCTCGGGCTAGTGTCTGCAGGATTAGATAGCACACCAGTACTAGGTCACTTTTGAGGCCAAGGCAGAGGCAAAGGAAAAGATTAACGACATAGTAGATCATGATCCAGGATCCTAGTTCCTGGTCTGACATTAGTCACTTTTCTGGCTGTTACGACGACAAAGCAGACACAGAGCATATGGGGGGCTGAGGGTCAGGGTGGTTAAACAGACCGCTTCCAAACCTATCTGGCTACTCCTTGAACATTCAGAGGGTGGAAGGGTTGTCAAGGAGGGAGATGGGTTAGTTCTCAGAGGTGGCCCAAGGTGAGCGTACTTGCCTCAAAGAGGCCTTCAAACTCTGAGAAAAGGAGAAAAAAAAAAGTTCCTTAAAATTTTTGTCAAAGGAGGCACCCAGAGGTCACAAGTTCTGAGGGTAGGCTCGTGGGAGGGTGGAGCACACTGCTGACACCAGGGCTGGGAGTGGAGTGGTGAGGAAGCGGTGGAGCGTGCAGTCCAGAGCACAGACTGAGCTCAGACAGACCGCGGTTCAAGTCCCAGCTCCGCTACTTGCTTCACAGCAGGTCGTTATTTAATTAGAGCTGTGATGCATGCTACAGAGGACGATTCAGCGTGCAAGGAACGCAGAAACATAAAACTGACTCAGGACCCCACCCCTGAGGCGGGGACAGCCCGTTCCTTCTGGCCTTGACTGCACTTCTTCCTCATCTGTGCTTGACTGGATCCCAGGTCTTCCTTTTCTTTCAACTTTTTATTTAGTTATTTATTTATTTTTGGCTGTGTTGGGCCTTTGTTGCTGAACGTGGGCTTTCTCTAGTTGCAGCGAGTGGGGGCTACTCTTCGTTGCCGTGCGCGGGCTTCTCATTGTGGTGGCTTCTCTTGTTGCAGAGCACAGGCTCTAGGTGCGCAGGCTTCAGTAGTTGTGGCACGTGGGCTCAGTAGTTGTGGCTCTGGGGCTCTAGAGTGCAGGCTCAGTAGTTGAGGCTCTGGGGCTCTAGAGTGCAGGCTCAGCAGTTGTGGTGCACAGGCTTAGCTGCTTCATGGCACGTGGGATCTTCTCGGACCAGGGCTAGAACCCGTGTCCCCTGCATTGGCAGGCAGATTCTTAACCACCGCGCCACCAGGAAAGTCCCCTCAGGTCTTCCTTGATATTGTTTCTTCAGGGAAGGCTGATCCTTAGCCCAGGCGCAGCCACCGTGTCCTTCGCCTTCATCATACACTGAACTGAAAGAGCAGTGTAGGTGCAGGAGCACACCCCGGGGAGGGCTGTGACCTGGCGCCTCGGAAGAGGCAGGAGACAGGGCCGCATGTGGTCTTTTGCAGACAGTGATAAGGACGCCGGTCTTTATCCTAAGTACAGTGAGTACCATTTTTAAATGACCCCTCCAGATGGTGGCTAAAGAATAGACATGAAGGACTAGAGTAGAGGTAGAGAAACTAGTAGAGAGGAACTTCCAAGCAAGAGACATGGGTGCTTGCAACAAAAGTGGTAGAAAGAAAATAAGAAGTATTTGAGAAATATCCACAGGGTAGAAAGGACAGCCGTTCATTCATGATTAGATGTGGGGCTGAGGAAGAGGAAGATGTCAAGGATAACTCCAGGCTTCCAGAATCAGCAAGTGAGTAAGCGATTGTTCTCCTGAAGCCCTGAATGCAGCAGTGGGCCTGCGGTGGAGCTGGCAGGACCACTGGCTTTAGATACTGAGTTGGAGGTGCATTTTAGACAATCAGGGGACCTGCGGCATAGACCACTGGATATACAGGCTTTGAGTTCAACAGAGAAGTCTGGGATCGAGACGGGAAAGTGAGTCACTGGGCTGAAGCCACTGGTGGCTGAGAACCGACAGAGAGGATGCAGTGAGCCAGGGCCTGGGAAGTGTTGAGAAAACAGGGGAGGTGGCTTCTTTTTTTTTTTTTCCTAAATCCATTTTGGACAGATTTCACAGGACTGAGAGAGCTCACTCTGTGGCAGCAAAGGTGATCCAAGTAAACACCCGAAAGGAAAGAGAAACTCATTGGGAATGCCCAGGAAGCTTGACTGGCTGTCCGTGACACCAAGAAATTCTCCATCTAAGGCATAAACCTTGGAGGCTCTGGGTCATGTTGTAAGGTCTCTTCTGGAAGGGGGCTGGGCCCTGGGCAGAAGCCACACTTAAGGAGCAGCAGCAATGAGCAGCGTGGTACTGCTTAATGCCTGACTCTCTCTCCCCAACCTTCCTCCCATCTCTCGTTCCTTCAGGTACAGACCACTCCCTCCAAGGGCTTTCATTCACCACTGCAATGTTTCTCATGGGACACTGGTGATCTATGAGGTGCTGCTAAGTATTCTACTAAAAAGGGAGTTCTGTGGCCAAATCGTTTTTTTTTTTTTTTTTAATGCTGGGCTAAGAAAATGAACATGAATTTTTATTATAGATGTTTTTAGAGCGTTTAATATGCTTATGGGCACAGTGACTCTCTATGAGAAGGTTCTAATGTTTCCTAACACACTGGCTCTAGAACCCGTCCAGAGCTGGGACAATCACACACAACTGGTCGCCTGGTCTAACCAGGGATTGTACCTGTTTAGAGAGAAGCTCTTTGCACAACTTGTAAAGGGTGATGAACTTCCTGGCTAGTAACCGTGCTTCAATGAATCCTTCTGCCACAAGCATGATTTCACAGATCAACTCAAAGTCTGGAACGACCATCGCGCAAGGCCTGTGTAAGGGAGACAGAGGGCTGAGACAGTCCCAACCACACAGTGGAGGGGAGCTTGTAAGACAAGAGACACTGGCTGAGATCACAGATGGAGGCATGTGTGAGTGTGAAAACTGAGACCTTAGCAATTTTTTCACTGAAGACTTTCAATGTTAAGATGAGTTCGTAAGGATAAAGGGAGTAAACTCTCTTGCTCAAGGTGATGGATGATGTGAGCAGATGGGGACAGAGGTGGGGCTACAATGCAAGTCTTGTAACTTGGGTCCAGTGTGCCTTACACAAGGCACAGATTAGTAAAGCCTCAGTAATTAGCAGATTACCAATTAGTGATCTTCTATCATAGATTAGGGGCTAAGGTTGGGGAATAGAGTCTCTCTTGTTATCTGCAAGAAAATGAGAATCTATTTCTCCTCCTCAAAACTTGTCTCCTCCAAGTCTAGATGATCAGACTTATTCTATGCTTATTTGCATACAAATGTCAGTACCTAATGCTGAGGTCTGAAGTAGGCACCTATGAACCCCACTTTGCCACAAAATGGCAAATATGAGAATATAGAAGGGGATTTTTTGTCTATATATAAGGATTGATTGTGGTTTTTTCCCCTCTAGGTCTAGAAACATTTTATTTTAAAATTAGTTAACTTTAAAATTAATTCATTAGGTATGTGATAGGAGACTAAAGTTGTTACGTTTCTTTAATT